TACCGGGTGAGCGCGCGACCGACTTAGATTATGCTGATGATATCGCCTTACTTGGTGACGATCCTCAGGGTATGCAACTCATTCTGGATCGTGTGGCGGTTGAAGCATCTAAGTATGGCATGAGCTTCGCCCCATCGAAGTGTAAAGTACTGCTCAAGGATTGGCTTTCACCTGCACCCGTGCTCACTCTCCAAGGTGCACAACTTGAACAGGTAGATAGTTTCGTCTACCTTGGGAGCTGTGTTTCCTCTGACGGCACTATCAACAAAGAAGTTTCGCTTCGTATCGCTAAAGCTCGATCAGCATTTGTCAAGCTGAGGCACTTGTGGCGTCGTCGCGACGTCTCATTCTCACTAAAGGGCCGAGTTTACAGCGCGTCCGTTCGCTCGGTATTGTTGTATGGGAGCGAGTCCTGGCCGATTCGCGTGGAAGACATGCGTCGTCTTGCTGCGTTCGATAACGGTTGCTTAAGGAGGATCGCTCGTGTTCGGTGGCAACATCGAGTTACCAGTAATGACGTTCGACGTCGCGTCTTGGGGAATGCAAGTATTTCCTTCAACAACCTGGTTTTGTTGCGCCAGTTAAGATGGCTCGGTCATGTCCTACGCATGGCACCTGAGCGTCTACCGCGTCGCGCTCTATTCGCTCGTCAAGGACCTGGCTGGAAGCGACCGCGTGGTGGTCAGCCTTCCACTTGGCGGCAGCACATGAAATCGCTGACGTCGTGTCTAGCCGCTGTTGGACCCGTACGTCTTCCAGGATGGGGACCCAAAGATGGGGAGTGCCAATGGCTTAGGACACTTGAAGACATGGCCCGCAACCAGAATCAATGGAAGAATTGTGTACACTGTTGTGTTGATTCACATGTTTAATTCTACAAACATTGAAAATGACAAAAAAAGAGAAAAATCGGCGTGTGACAAACAAACTAAAAATGTTTTGTTCTGTATTTTTGTCAAAATATTCCATTTTCTTGCGGCATATTAGCTGAAGTGTGTTGCCCACCTTCAGCTAGCATGCCACGACGATTATGACGCAATGACTGTCTCTTATACACTGATTTCCATGGCTTTCTTGGCTCTATGTCTAGTTACTAGACTGTTGAGATTACATACATACATACTGGTCCGCAGTTATGTGTGCTGGCCTAGTATTGACAACAACGTTGAAGATTTCATTCGCTGTTGCTTAAGATGTCAACATGCCTCCAAAATGCTACCACATCAGCCAGCAGTTTCCTGTCAACCGACAGAAAAGCCGTGGTCTCGACTGCACATCGACTATGCTGGTCCGATCGATGGTATCCCCTACCTGGCCGTGATTGACGCTTACTCTAAATTGCATGAATTTGTCGCATTCAGTCCACCAACAGCATCCGCCAAGCTGGGTTGTCTACAAAGAAAGTTCAGTCAACATGGACTCCCCGAGGTCTTGGAGTCCGACAATGGCTCCCAGTTTACGTCTTCCATATTGGAAGATTTTTGTCCTCGGCATTACATCCAACATCTACGCTCGCGGCCCTACTATCCCACCTCCATCTCCACTGTGCGTATCGTTGTCTGTTTTCGAGGACTCCGCGCGTTACCCGGATACATACATGAATAGGGACCGTGCTCCGTTTACGCGTAAAGTTCAGCTAAGCTAACACGGCTAGGTCAGTATAAATCCATTACACTGGATTTATGGAAACGTGTCTCTGTTGGATTGGCTTGCTCTTGGCTCATGGATTGAATATTCTACTAGCGCCACAATTCCTAAGGGATCTGGTTACCTCGAGTCTTATCAACCGACGCAGTGGGACTGAACCGACTATTGCAAATGTATAGCAGTCCCTATGGCCAACTTGTGGGTTGGTGGTTCCATTAACCCTCATGTGTGTGACTGGGGATCAATATCGGATTGCATTACGAGTGCACACCGATGAGTCCAAAAGCGGTGTGTGTGCGTGTGTGTGGTAGTTTAATTTGCAGCAAGACCTGGGATTTATTTCTGATTGCCTCCAGGGTGCTACAGCATCCGAGCCGCCAAGTCAACAGTAGGAACTAAGTTTATTCCTTCAGATGCAGTGAAATCCTTGCACGCTATACCAGTGGAGGTAGTGATCGGTTTTCTATGCCTTCCCAGTTCCGAATATGCAGGAGCGAATAAAAAAGTGATGAACGTTCAGTCGGAGTAGAGTACAGAACCTTTGCGAATAGCCTCCAGGGTACCTCATCAGCACTCTCACATAATGTCCCTCGTCATCTGTTGTAGATTGGCCTATGGTGACATCGATGATCATAGTGAGATCTGGTGCTGTGCTAAGCGCTGCGAGTCCAAAACACAGCCTGATCAATTATGGACCTGTTTGCAATCGTCAGGTTGAGACCTTATCCACGACTCCAACTAGGGACACACACATTACCAACCGAGGTGCTTACTCCCACACCATCGACTAGGGTGCAGTAATCGTCAAAATGAGTATTTCGCAGTAACTCATATCGAGCGTAGAATTGCTTCACAAAATTGCTGATGGACTAGTGCATGGAGTAAATGCATACAGTACGACAGAGGATAATCTCTTATTTTGATATTTGATGTACTAAGCTTTATAGCCAATTTTCTTAGATGACGTCACTAGACCACACAACGGGATTGGTAAAACCGTGATTATTAACCGGAATAAAGTTCTCTTTCATTTTCACGTTATTTTCTCAAAGCCGCCATGAATCAAGAACTGCAGCATAGATTACGTTGTTGTGACATGCCAACGTTCACCATCATTGTAATCACATATCCAAGTATGTGACTGACGTGCCCCGGAATTTCGAGAACTCTTCTCTGACCACAGGACTTACGATGTAGATTTACTGCCTACATACGTTGAGCAGCAAACACGCAGATGATTTTCAGTATGCTTTCTGACCAGAGAATAGCTGACAGATAAGGCAAATGTGCAAATTGGCATTCGATATTTTAATTCACAACCCTAAGTTCACAGCATATGTAATTGGAGCAGTTTCGATGTACTGACCACAGATGCCTCCCCATTAACTGCTACCCAACTCTACAGCTCCTTCATCCAGTCAGCCCCACTCTTAGTGACTGTACTTTTACGATGGGTGAACATGTCCAGAGACCACTTGGATCACATTGTTCAATTGACCATACACTGCTGTGATAGTCGGAAATGATGTCATAGTCTACAGATCTCTGAGAAGCATTCCGTTTTCCTTGTGTATTCCGGCTCCACTTATGAGCAACGGCGAAGTAGAGTTATCAGCTGTATTCTTATTCACTGCGGGGAAACAGACCTGATTCTTACACACCCACAATCGTGCTCCTACTCTTCCTCGCCTCTAATCATGAAATTCTCACTTCACTGTACTTACGAAGCACCATTGTTGATTGCCTCAGTAGTTGACGGCATAGATGACTAACAGCTGATTCTGCATTCGGGTTATCACTGCGTATTCCATTCAACTATACACCACCTGGTTGGTTTGCAGTGAACTTGCGTGCACATCAGTGCTTTCATAACTACCACGCATTGCCGTCCTACATGATGTCGCTCGTGGATGTTCTTCCATTCTTGACGTTGAATGCGACTTGTGAATTTTGTAACGGGCTTTGCAATAATCGTTGTTTGGTACATTGACCAAAGCTCTTATCCTCTAGGTTTTTGGACCATCATCTGTGTGTTGGTGAAACCAAGTGCAGCGATGTCTGTTGGGGTACCATGAAATAAACCTAAGCATTTGATGTTACGGCCAGTGACACCAAACATCTAAACCTAGACTAACACACGTTTAACTTGTTTAACCATCTACCTATGGAATCTAATATGTCCTACAGTATTTCACTTGCCAGCAGTTGTTCGAATAGCTTGATGTACACACATTCACGTATTCCTCAGTTTCGAAGGGTGTTGGATTTCGCATCCGGTTACATAGCTATCGGTGCCCATAAGCTGTCCAGATTAGTATAATGTAAACAGGTGTCACCGCAATCTTTTTTAAACATGGTGTATCAAAGGTCTCCAAAAAAAGTATCCGTAAATCTTCGCGCCAATCGTTGGATACTGGTTTACCGTAACCTCGGTGATCAAAACCGAATTGTTGGTCAGTTTTAGAGACAGAGTTGTGACAGCCTGTCTGCCTTAAATATCAACCAGCCCCATCAATTCTCTAACAGTCAAGCCCCCACACAAATGTTGTTAATACTATGGGGCGTGACTGTCAATAAGTCGCGGTGCGCACTCCAAGCAATTCAAGTCAAAGTGGGCTTTATGCACCCGGGTACGTGCATGTTCAGTCTGTTACACTATCACTACGGATGGTGACGCATATGAAGTTACTGTTACGGAAAAAAGAACACACATAAAGTGTACACACGTATCACTCGAGCGAATAATTTCGCATCATACCGATACTTTTGGTTGGGTCAAAGACTAAGTGTGACAAGTACGGTAGCGCGGAAATGCCAGGGGCAATCGCCTTCCTACTGTCGCCGCACCCGTCTGGGTCGTATTCACACACATTGCGAGTGATCTGTTACGCATTGGAGCAACATTGCCTAATACTGCGGCAAACGGATTTCGACTCATTGTCCTTTGCCATCCTTCAGTCTGCAGATGTTTCCGACACTGGACGGTGTGGAGAACTGGATCAGTGATATCCAGTTCACTCAGAACTAGTGCGCCCTTGGACATATCGACTAGAATGCTTTGCGTTACTTAGTACTAAACGTATTAATGGATCCTGCATAAGCGTTATGGCTAACACACGCTAATAAATGAAGCTGATCGGATCGATCCTATTGCACGAGTACACTACGAGTACATTGTTTGTAGAAATGTATAAATCAAAGTATTTGACTATCAACTGAAGACCACAGTGAACGAAGTCCACTTATGCGTTTACTAATACTAGTCTCGCAGTGAACTCCTGGTACCAACCAAAACGTATAGTCTAGTATGCGTTAGGGACACCGAATTAAAAACTCTACACATTGTAACTCACCTAAGCAGGGAATGTATCCAATCCACGGGAACGTGATCGGTCCAGGTGCTCGTGGCCTTCTCTTGAACAGCGCTTTCATACAGCGATAACAGATGTAAAGCAGTACGGCTCGTTTGACTGCCAGTTGCCAGTTACCCACGAGAGACGCGACGTCGACAAACATCTTGAGTCCGGTTTTCTAGTTGATATAGAGATGGCTGACTGGAGTGCCGCTTTCGGTGTGTATAAATACTTCCCGCTTTGCCATGCGTAGGCGGACGACGTGCAGATCTCTCGGGATTGCACACAATCACTCAAAAACGCATCATCCGATGACGCAACTATATGGAGATGATTGGTGCTTATCATTCGGGGGGGAGGGGGGACAGACCGGTGCATCATTGAACGGTGGACAGCCGTCAGTGTGGCGAACGCCAGGTTTTCTGTAATGACCTCTTACTCAAGCTTCTGGCCGGCGTAACAGAGATAAGCTTGAATGTTACTTGGTGCGGATTGCGCAATCAGGAATGAGGCAATCTCCTCTATTGCGTTCATCCCCATTGCGCAATTCGCGCCAATCCCCATTCAAGCTTACCTGCATTATTCCGGCTCGAAAGTATGGAGGAGGATGGTGACAGACCGTTTGATTCATGCAACTCTGATGGCTGTTGGATTATTGGAGAATCAGCTGTTCGTGTAATCCCTAAGTATGGCAAAGTAATGAGCCGATGAGAGTCGGTATCTTGATGTGTTGTGCGATTTGGCACTCCTGAGCATTCTGCACATCACAATGGAGCTTGAAAACTGGTCGCATTTCATGACTTCTGATGCTGAACCTCCGTTTTAGCCATCATCCAGTACAACCGTTTGAAGTGTGGATTCGCAGGAAACATCTGTATTCTCTGCGCAGTTCTTTGTCCTAAACAATCTGATATGGTATTCTGTACTCCACTATTCTTTGTGGTAGATAATAGTTTTGCACTTTTCTAATCGCTCTCTTTAATTTCAAATAGCGCTCGACGGAGAAGGTGATGTGCTGGCAGGCTCAAAACGTGTCCGAGCCAACGCATGAGATGTCGGAGAATAACCTCCGGAAGACTGACACTGCTCCTTCCAAGCATTCGGTCTCGGACCTGTGCGTTGCTTACATGGTGTTACCACCACACCCGAGTAAACCTTCTTAGACAGTGGTTGTCGAAGACTGACAAGAGCTTAATGGCTTCTGAACTAATAGGCCGTCTTACAGCCGTACAAGAGTACAGCACGGACGAAAGCACTGTGCACCCTGCCCTTGACCTTGAGACTGACATCACGACGACGCCATAGATGTCACAGTTTATGCATGCAAGGCGGGCCTTTGCAATCCGTTGTGAGACTTCATCTCCAACACCGCCACCAGCCGTGATGCAACTCCCTAGATAAGTAAAGCAAGCGACTTGCTCCAGAACATGTCCAGCAATGGTGAGCGCGGGTTCAGGCACCTGCCAGTTCTGAAACAGCGTTTTACATTTTCTAAGAGTAAAGCATAAACCGTACTTGGACGCCTCCATCGCTAAGCAGTCCAAAACGCTCTGGACGGTTTGTGGATCGTCTACCAGCCAGGCGACATCAGCGGCGTAGTCCAAGTCCGTGACTCTCTCCAGCGAGGAGCTTAACACCGCAGTTCTGGATACCTTCCAGTGCTACTTGGACGACATCTTCGATGGCGAAATTGCAGAGGAAAGGGGAAATAGGGAACCTTGGCGAAAGCCGCTTGTCACAGCAAACGAAGAAGATAGCGTGCCGTAAGCCCTGACTTTGCCCGACGAGTGACTATACAACACTTTTAACGTGGTTACAAATTTGCCGGGCATAACTTTCTTCAGTAAACAGTTCCACAACGCAGATCCATCTACTGAATCAAGTGCCGCTATGGTGTCCAAGAACACTACGATTGTTGGCCGATAGTGGATGTGCCGGAGTTCGAGAAGTTGGCGAGGCTTGAAGATTCGGTCCTTGCAGCCGCGGCCTGGACGTAATTCGGCTTGTTGTTCTCGGGAACACTCATCTCTTGTCGTTGAAGGTCTGCGAATTAGGACCGAAACGAAGATTTTGGATATAACAGCGATTTTCGGGATTCCGCGGTAGTTACAGCTTTCGTCGCGGGAGGCTTGCTTGTGAATCGTACAAAGACCGATTCTCCTCATAAGTTCGGAACATACTCTTCAGCCCAAACTTTCGTGAACAGCCGTAGGATTTCGCTGACAAACACACTCCCACCATCTTTGAATAGAACCGGTGCTAGAATGTCCGGAGCAGGAACCTTGTTGCGTTTCAAAATATTGATTGCATCTCGGATCCCTGCTTCATTTGGAGGGCATGTGGAGACAGGCCAAGCATCATCCGTTTGGGCTGGAGGTGCCAAAGGAGACTGTGTTGAGTGGTTGAATTGAAGAGCGAATTGATCTTCCCAGCAAACCAATCATCTGTGAAGGTTGGTGATCTTCATGCCGTCTGATTAGCAAATCATCTGGCTGATGGTGTGGGAATTGCAACTGATGGCCCTGATGATGCAAATTAGACGGCGGAAGTTGCCAGCTGATGCAGCGGCTTCCATCACCTCAGCTTGTTTTGAGCACCAGAATGCACGATCACAGCTAAGGCTTGCTTTCAACTGTTGTGTAATAGAACCGCGGTGTTTGTTGTGCTCTACGCCAGCAGTTACCGCCCATCAGCGATCCAGCAATTCCGAGGATCTTCCCGAGAACGAGCTTTTGAGAGTGGAGCGAGGGAGGCCGCAGCTGGACAAACCGGTGGATAGCATGGCTTGTTGCAGACTTGACCAGTGTTGATCAACATCCTAAGTGGGAAAGGAGATTTCCATGAAGCCGTTGTTGGTACTCCTTCTTCACCATGGGATCCTCCAACTTGTAGGTGTCAGTCGGGAGTGTTTGAACCTAGGTGAACCACCGAAACGCATGCAGACGGTCGCACCTACCAATGCATGATCGGTATCGACGCATGTTGACCCAAAATGATCAGCACTCGCGTACGCTGCCGCGCCACCTGCGACTTATGGCTACGTGGTCAATTTGTGACCATCGCTGGGTTGATGGTGGGGGGCGCCAAGTGGCGTACTGGAGTCCAGGATGACGAAAGCTCGTGCTGTAGAGGAAAAGCTGATGATTAGCACGCAGACTATGCAGTCTCTCTCCGTTGTCTGAGTATACATCATCATATCCATGTGGTTCCCGAGCTAGCGTTCACTTGGCAGCAGCCGACCGGCACGCGCGTTGAAGTTTCCTGCCTAAACAACGATGTATACTTTAGGAGCCCTTAGAAGCAGCCCATGAAGCTTGTGGTAGAACTCGTCTTTGACCACGTCCTAGCTATAGTCAGTGGGCATGTGGGAAAAGATCACGAAGAGAGCACGCTTTTCGACTGAACGTTTGCTAACTTTACAAGAGCCATGAAGCCTCATCACACAAAGGCGACTATCGATCGGAATTCAATCAACCTGAGCAGTCTCGGCTCTAGCACTGAGGGCGATTCCAACTCCAGCTTGCCCAGATGCGGCAGACTCGGCGTCACCAGAGAGGCGGAGATGGAACCGGGTGGGTGCGTGGAGCGGTGACGCCAGCTGCTAGACCGAGTTGGAGTCGTGGAGCCGCGTTTCACTCAGGCAACTGATATCAATTCCAAGGGCCTCTAGAGTGCGTGCAAGTCCAGCTTGCTGACCGAGCTGCAGTAATGCGTGTACGTTGAAGGCTGTAAGTTTGAACTGCATTCCGGGTTGCAGGAGCGAAGATGGGAGACTTCGAGGCTGACTGCTCTTTGCTGAGTACTGTGTGGTTGAGTTGGAAGGTGTCACGGGTTGGGGTTGATCGCCATAGGTCAAGCAGGTACAAATGGGTGTGAATGGTACGATGGAAGCGTAAGTAAAATGGTGTCGTGTGTTTGTCAAGTTGGCGCAGTTGCATGAGTGAATAGCATCGTAGCAGCAAGAGAGCGTGTGAATGGTTGTAGTTGTAAGTCCATGGTTCGTCAGTAGGCGAGATACTACCTGGTTGCCTAAACAGAGGTAGATAGGTTATCTTAGGGAACCACAGCCCCGAGCCATTCACCAAAGGGCCTAGCCCACAAGGCAGCAGGGCGAGATAAGGGGTTCGCACCCGGTGGGAGCTTGTGACTGGACACTCATTTCATAAGACTTACGGATGACGATAAGCCATGCCAGGGCCCAAAAACTCCCGAAGTCAGAGACAAGATCCGATGCACTGATTGTTTGCCGGTGTACAATGTCTCCAAAGAAGACAAGTAGCAGTGCCTTCATTTAGTGGCGATTCACATCCGTCACGTCGCAGTGTTGTTAAAGGGACATTTGTAGTTTTATCTAGGGAGAACGCTTGCCAAGCGAAAACCCTCTAGGTCTTGGAGCCACCAAACCATTCGGCCGAACGGGAAATTCCCGAACCGCCCAGCTGGCTCCACGAGGAGATTGTTCGGCAAGCCACCACTGTGGTGAAATATCACCAGCTGGACATGTTCGATCGAAACTGCCGTGACCTAACGAATGCGTGGATTGGTAACGCTTTCATTTGGTTTGTACATCCCCGAGTCTTCAATACGCGGTCCATGTGCGGTAGTTGTCAGGTGCGCATTCGAATGAGTGGACACCACTAGTTAGAGCTGAGTGCATTTTTCTTCCTAAGTTGCGGCTGATACCCTACTAGAATGTTGATTAATCACATTGCATAAAACTACCACATCGCTGCAGGTTCGTTCCATATCCATCCTCAACACACGGATATTAATGGAGGGGGACTAAGCACTGATATTCGTCAAACCAGCGGAGACAAATAGAAGATCACCTCTAAAACGCCTCCCACTTTGGAATTACCTCCGCACCATTGAATTGTAATGTCTTCCTGCAGGACTGGCTAGGCCTTGCTGCTATCCCTACCCATTTAGGTCATTCGTTGGAGGTGGTAGACACGTTCGTTTACCTCAGAAGCTTCCTCAGCTGCAAAGACTTGACTGGTGGAATAAGCTCATCTGTAAACTTTTAGCCCACCTTGTAGGTTCAGTCCCATCGTTTGAGATGCATTGCTCGGGTGGGGAATCATGTGAATTATGCACCGTGAGCAATGGTACTCCGCATGGCAATGTACAAAGTATGTAAACTCCGGTCGATGCATACGGATGAACGTTAAAGGTGTTTGTT